TGCCCATTCCAAAGAAAGGTGATCCAACAGAATGCAGAAATTATCAAACAATATCATTAATATCACTTGCAAGTAAAATTTACTGAAGATAATTTAAAATTGGTTGCAGTGGTACATCGATAGCGAACTGCCAGAAATTCAAGCTGGATTCAGAAGAGGACATGGAACCAGGGATATCATTGCTGCTGTCAGATGGATCTTGGCTGAAAGCAGAGAATATCAGAAAGATGTTTACCTGTGTTTTGACTATGCAAAGACATTCGACCGTGTGGATCATAACAAATTATGGATATCATTGGGAAGAATGGGAATTTCAGAACACTTAATTGTGCTTATGCAGAACATGTGCATAGATTGAGAGGCAGTCATTTGAACAGAAAGAGGGGATACTGCGTGGTTTAAAATCAGGAAAGATATGCGTCAGGATTGTATCCTTTCACCATACTTAATCCGTATGCTGAGCAAATAATTAAAGAAGTCAAACTATATGAAGAAGAATGTGGCATCAGGATTGGTGGAAGACTCATTAACAACATGCAATATGCTGATGACACAACCTTGCTTGCTAAAAGTGAAGAGAACTTGAAGCACTTACTGATGAAGATCAAGGACTACAGCCTTCAGTATGGATTACACCTCAACATAAAGAAAACAAAAATCTTCACAAGTATATTAATAAGCAACATCATGATAAAAAGAGGAAAGATTGAAGTTCTCAAGGATTTCATTTTACTTGGATCCAAAATCAATGCCTATGGAAGCAGCAGTCAAGAAATCAAATGATGTATTGCACTGGGCAAATCTGTTGCCGAAGAGCTCTTTAAAGTGTTAAAAAGCAAAGATGTCACTTTGAGGACTAAGGTGTGCCTGATCCAAGCCATTGTATTTTCAATCACCTCCTATGCATGCGAAATCTGTACAACGAATAAGGAAGATGGGAAAAATTGATGCCTTTGAATTATTGTGTTGGTGAAGAATATTGAATATACTATGGGCTGCCAGAAGAACAAACAAATCTGTCTTGGAAGAAGTACAGCCAGACTGTTCCTTAGGAGGGACGATGGCGAGAGTTTGTCTTAGGTTCTTGAGACACGTTTTCAGGAGGGACCAGTCCCTGGAGGAGGACATCATGTTTTGTGAAGTAGAGGGTCAGTGAAAGAGAAGAGGGCCCTCAATGAGATGGATTGACACAGTGGCTGCTACAATGGGCTCCATGATAACAATGATTGTGAGGATGGCGCAGGACCGGGCAGTGTTTCGTTCTGTTGTACATAGGGTTGCTGTGAGTCAGAACTGACTCAATGGCACCTAACAACAACAACAGAAACATGTTGAATTAATAAGTGAACAAAGGAATGACTATGCAGAAGATCTTAACATGGATTTTAGGAAAAGGGGAGTTTACTCTAGCAACTAGAGTGTGGGCTGCCCCACCATATTGGCCATCACTGCATATTGGAATATCTGCATTTTTCTCTATTCCCTATAGATCATAGCCCAATCTTCTTTCTCCAAATGGGTCTGGAGGTTAGTCACATTGAATCCACTTGAGAGGAATTCTTGGGTGACCAGGGCCTTTGATTTTTCAGCCAAAGCAGAAGTTTGATAAGCCTATATGTGTTTCCTGGAGCACGGACGTGGAGGGCGGGAGGTGGACACCCTCTGGCTGTGTGGTCCTTGAGGCTTCCAAGATGCGTACCATCTGCAGCTGTAATCGGATGGCGAACTTGGCCGTCATCATGGCTTCTGGAGAGCTCACGGTCAGTACCAGTGGCCTGTGCACTGGCTCCCCAGTTTTCTGGCCCCAAACCCAAGGAGAAAACAGTTACTAAATATCTATTATGTGTCCCTCATGGATTTGGGTGTTGTGGGAGGCAGTCATGGGGACAGAGGGGTGTGTGCCAGGCTTTTATTCTTGGGGAATTCATGAAACTCGTGTACAAAATGAGAAATAATGACCCTAAACAGGTGTAGGCACAATACCAATCACAAATCCTGTTTACTCAGCACCTCCTGTGTGCCAGGCTCTTTATTTCACATTAGCTTTAATCCTTCACACGGAGCCTGTCAGTTCAGTTTTGTCAAACCCATTTTACAGACATGGAGACTGAGTCTCAGTAGCCTGTCTAGTAATGAAGCCAGTAAGTGGTGGAGGTGGGATTCGAACTCAGGTCAGTCTGGATCCAAAGGTCATGCTCTTTTCATGCTCTTTCCACTAAACCATACAATTGGAGCAAGAGATTGTGCTGTATGGATTCAGAGCTGTTTTGGTAAGAGCTGGGGGAGATTGGGAAGGAGATGGAATATGACATGGGTCTTGGTGAACGCCTGGACGCAGAAGAGAGAGAGCCATTCTCACTGGTGTGGTGGTGAGACAGAGTACTTGCCTCTCACTCCAGACTTGAGGCTCAATTCCCTGGCAGGATTCCTTAAATGCTAATTAGAGGACCATATGGCTTAGGACAAGGAGCCCTGGTGGTGCAATGGTTAAGCGCTCAGCTGCTAACCGAAAGGTCAATGGTTTAAACCCATCAGCAGCTCCATGGAAGAAAAGACGTGGCAATTGCTCCTGTAAAGATTTACAGTCTTGGAAACTCTATGGGGCAGTTCTACTCTGTCCCATAGAGTCACTATGAGTTGGAATTGACTTGACGACACACAGCAGCAACCATACACATGGGTTGGGCCTTAAGGGAGCTAGCTCCAGATCAAGACTGGCCTAGTTTCAAGTCCCATCTCTATCACTTTTTAGCTGTGTGACCTTGGTCAAGTCACTTAACCTATCTGAGCTGAGTTCTCATTTCAGAAACGAGAAAAAGAAGAAAAAATGACGATAGTTACACTTATATAGTACGTGCTATGTTTCTGGCAAAGGAGCCCTGGTGGCACAGTGGTTAAGCAGTTGGTTGCTAACTGAAAGGTCAGTGGTTCAAACCCACCAGCCGCTCCAGTGGAGAAAGATGTGGCAGTCTGCTTCCGAAAAGATTTACAGCCTTGGAAACCCTATGGGGCAGTTCTACTTTGTCCTGTAGGGTTGCTATGAGTTGGAATTGACTCGACGGCAGTGAATTTCTGGCACAGTTGTAAGTACTTTTAAGTATTTTCATTCAATCCTCCCAAAACAACCCTATAAAGTAGTTACTATTATTATCCTTTTTAAAAAACAGAAGATGAAACAAGCACAGAACAATTAAAGTGTCTTGCCCAAGCTCATACAGCTGCAAACTGGCAGAACTGCAGTCCATTTTCCTAACCACTTTGTAACAATATCACAGAAAGGAGCCCACGAGATGGTGTCTGGTGTATCTTTAACATAAGGTGGTATACACAGACAACACTCAAATAAATGTAAAAAATTAATTATGAATAATGGCATAGGGGAAGGACTTGGCTTGTTATGTTCCCCTTCCAGAAGTTGGGGATTCTCTGAATGTCCACAAATCAGTTGGGGTTCAGTTCAAGGAACAGAAACCATTCCAGGTATTTCAAGCAGAAAGGGATTTAACACAGGGAATTTAAAGCTCACGAAATCATGGAAAGGGATAAAGGAGTTGAAGTTGGAGGCTGCCACTCAGGTTTTGGCTTCCCCCTGGAAGCTGGGATACACAGGTCAGAAACTCCTGTGCCCATGTTATTCCCATGCTCGTGAAACTGGGGACTGGACAGCTGGAATGTCCATGGCTAACTCTTGCCTGCTAAGCCCCCTTGTCTTCCACCATCACTGCAGAAAGGTGATGTATGAGTCCCTTCTGCCTTCCAAACCTTCACAGATGCATCTCATTGGAGAACCTAAATCACGTCTCGGACCTTAGCCCTGGGGGGTTCCGGGAAATGTAGTTGGTAGACATCCAGCCCTGGTAATGAATGGGGTAGGCATAGCACAGGGTGGGAACGGGTGCTGCTGGATGACAAGGAAGAATGACAGACAATATCCAGTTCACGCTGAGGATCAGAGGGAGAAAAGGCCCTGAGACCTTTCTGCCCAAGACAGGGGTCTGGATAATTCTTTTTCCTGCCTGGGAGATAGTGCTCCCTCTCTGAGGCTAACAGCAGCTCTCCTTGCTGACAGATGGAGTTTTCTTTGTACGTGATTAGCCACGTGGGCATGGTCATCTCCCTGGTGTGCCTCGCCTTGGCCATTGCCACGTTCCTGCTGTGTCGTGCCATCCGTAACCACAACACCTACCTCCACCTGCACCTCTGCGGGTGCCTCTTCCTGGCCAAGATGCTCTTCCTCGCCGGTGTAGACAAGACCGACAACCAGGTCTCACACCCCTTCAGCTGTGCCCCCATATCCCACCCAGACCCATGGTCTCCACATCTGCCTCTGCTCATCCCCATCCAACTCCCTGTGTGCTTGGGCCTGCCTCAGGGCCTTTGCACCTGCTGTTCCCTCTGCCCATAACACTCCTCCCTCAGCTCCTTGTCTGGTTGACTCCTTCTTGTAATAGGTCTCAGCTTAAAATCACTTCCCTCATCTAATGTGGTCCCTCTTGTTGTCACTCTCTATGCCAGTGGTTCAGGAGCCCTGGTGGTGCAACAGTTACATGCTCAGCTGCTAACCGGAAGGTCAACAGTTCAAACACGCCCAGCAGCTCTGCGGGAGAAAGACCTGGCGATCTGCTCCCATAAAGATTACTGCCTAGAAAACCCTATGGGGCAGCTCTACTTTGTCCTGTGGGGTCTCTATGAGTGGAATTGACTCGATGGCACCCAACAACAGCATACCAGTGGTTATCAACTGGGGTGGGAGACGATTTTGTCCCCACTTGGCAATGTCTGGAGACATTTGTGGTTGTCACCAGTGAAGGGTTGTAGTGCTACTGGCATCTAGTGGGTGGAGGCCAGGGACACTGCTCAACACCCTACAGTGCACAAGACGTCCCCCACAACCAAGACTTATCTGGCCCAAATGTCAATATTGCCACAGCTGAGAAGCCATACTTTCTCCTGTCACTCTAGTTTATTTTTATTTCCCCCAGCTCTTCTTTGAAATCTTATTAATTATTTGTTATTTTACTTTCTACGTCCCCCACTAGACTGTAAGGAGCCCTGGTGGTGCAATGGTTGAGCACTCAGCTGCTAACGAAAATGTTGGCTGTTTGAACCCACCCAGAGGCTCTTGGGAGAAAGACCTGGCGATCTGCTCCCATAAAGATTACAGCCTAGAAAATACTATGGGGCAGTTCTACTCTGTCACATGGAATTGCTATGAACTGGAATTGACTTGATGACACCTAAAGATTGGCAGTTTGAACCCACACAGCGGCTCCATGGGAGAAAGGCCTGGTGATCTGCTCCCATAAAGATCACAGTCTATGGGGTGGTTCTGCTTTGTCGTATGGAGTCACCATGAGTCAGAATAGACTCAATGACACTCAACAAACAAACCACTAGACTGTGAGTTCCATGAGGGCAAGAACTTTGGCCAGTTCATCTCCTATGACGGTGCCAGACGCATATAGAGTTTCCCAAAAGGAGTGCTATTGGCATTTTGTGTGGGATGATCATTCTTTATGCAAAACCGCCCCCCTCACTGCAGAATGCCTAGCTTGAGAAAGAAATGCTCCTAGCTCTCTGCTCAACATTTTGACCACAGGTCAGCAAACTTTTCCTGTAAAGGTCCAGATAGTAAATACTTTTGGCTTTGGAGACAGTGAAGTCTTTGCCTCAACTACTCCACTCTGCTGTTATACGGTGAAAGCACCATAAACAAGATGTAAATGAGTGTGGCTGTGTGCCAATAAAACTTTATTTACAAAAACAATCAGATGACCCATGGGGAAAAGTTTGCTGACCCCCGTATTGCCAAACAAGGATCCCTGGTGGTGTTATGGTTAAGTGCTTGGCTTCTAACCAAAAGGTCATTGGTTCGAACCAGCCCAGCAGCTCTGTGGGAGAAAAGACTTGGTGATCTGCTCTTGAAAAGATTACAGCCTAGGAAACCCTATGGGGCAGTTCTACTCCGTTGCATGGGTTCACTATGAGTTGGAATTGATGGCACACAACAACATATCTCTAAACATCTCCTAAAGTAGGGTGATCAGCCATCCAGTTTGCCCCAAACTCCCCTGGTTTTAGCACTGAAAGTCACCCATCCTGAATAACCACAATACCAGGCAAATGGGGATGGCTGGCCACCCTTCCAAAGGGATGGTGCCACTTACAGTCAAGAATTTTTTCTTAACCATAACATCTGGTGGCCCAACTGGGTTCTTTTCCTACTCTCGTGGGGGCAAAGCATTCTTCTGCTGGAGGAATTTGGAGATCTGTTAGTGAACATGGCAGAATGGGTGCTGTGTGGTGAAAACAGCAAATATCCACTAGAGACATGTTAGAAATAAATAAATATTTGTGGAGTGAATGAATGGCCACGTTTGAGGAACTCCAGTCAAGGCAGCCCTTCCCCTGCCCTCCCCACAGCCCTGAGCCTGCTCCCTGGGGAGGGGGTCCCTGAGTATGCATGCTTCTCCTCTTCAGACCAGCTGTGCCATCATCGCAGGCACCCTGCACTACCTTTTCCTCGCCTGCTTCTTCTGGATGCTGCTGGAAGCTGTGATGCTCTTCCTGATGGTCAGGAACCTGAAGGTGGTGAACTGCTTCAGCGCTCACAACATCAAGATGCTGCACCTCTGTGCCTTTGGCTATGGGCTCCCGGGACTTGTGGTGGTTATTTCTGCCAGTGCACAGCCACAGGGCTACGGGATGCATAATCGGTGAGTGACATCCCTCTCCCTGAAGACCCTTTTTTTTCCTTTTTTATTGTTGTAGTTAAATGAAGTTTACATTTCAAGTTAGTCTCCCATACAAAATTCTATACATACATTGTTATGCGACCCTAATTGCTCACCCCATTCTGCAACAGCACACTTCTCCTTTCCGCCCCTGACTCCCCATGTCCATTCAAACAGCTCTTAACCCTCTCTGGCTTCCCATCTCACCTCTGGACAGAAGCTTCCCCTTTGGTCTCTTGTATCTACTTGACGAAGAGGCACACTCCTCACGAGTATAACTTTATGTCCCACAGTCCAGTCCAATCCCTGTTTGAAGAGTTGGCCTTGGAAATTGTTTTAGTTCTGGGCTGATACAGAGTCCAGGAGCCATGCTTTCCAGGGTACCTCCAGTCTCAGTCAGACCATTAAGTCTGGTCTTCTTACTAGAATTTGAGTTCTGCATCCCATCTTCCTGCTGCTCCGTCAGGGACTCTGTTGTGTTCCCTGTCAGGGCAGTCATTGGTGGTAGCCAGGCACCATCTAGTTCTGGTCTCAGGCTGATGAAGTTTCTGGTTTATGTGGTCCTTTCTGTCTCTTGGGCTAATACTTTCCTTGTGTCTTTGGTGTTCTTCATTCTTCTTTACTCCAGGTGGTTGGGACCAAATGATGCATCTTAGATGTCCGCTTGCAAGCTTTTAAGACCCCAGACGCCACTCACCAAATGCAGAACATTTTCTTAATAAGCTTTGTTATGCCAGTTGACCTAGATGTCCCCTGAAAGCATGGTCCCAAGACCCCTATCCCTGCTACTCTGTCTCTCAAAGTATTTGCTTGTATTCAGGAAACTTTTTAGCTTTGGTTTAGTCCAGTTGGGCTGACTTCCCCTGTAGTGTGTGCTGTCCTTTCCTTCGCCTGAGATGATTCTTATCTACTGTCTAGTTAGTGAATAACGCTCACCCTCCCTCCCCACCCCCGTAATCATCAAAGACTGTTTTATTCTGTGTTACACCTTTTCTTGAGTTCTTATAATAGTGATCTTATACAGTATTTGTTCTTCTATGACTGACTAAATTCACTCAGCATAATAAGTTCCAGCTTCCACCATGTTATACAAAGTTTCACGGCTTCATTGTTATTCTTTATCATTGTGTAATATTCCATTGTGTGGATATACCATAATTTTTTTATCCATTCATCCGTTGATGGACACCTAGGTTGTTCCCATCTTTTTGCTACTGTGAACAGTGCTGCAATGAACATGGGTGTGCATATATCTATTCGTGTGATGGCTCTTATTTCTCTAGGATATATTCCAAGGAGCGGGATGG